GAGGTCAAAGATGTCCCAAATGTCCAACTTTTCTAAACTGCCATATCATTGCATCATCTCTGACATCAACTCCTCCTCCTCCCCTCAATAATCTCCCTCCCGTTTTAGGGTTCTGTAGTTCACTGTAATGTCTCACAGAGCTCAAAAACTCCCAAGGAAACAGTTCATGTGGTGGTGGTGGAGACTGGGAGGCTAGCAGGCTGGCCAGTCCCAAGTCTGTGGGCCTGGAGGATTCTCCCAGCTCACGTGGTGGCAGGGGTTGGTGAACCCAAATCGGTGGGTCAGATGATGGCTGCTGTTTCAAATCCAGGGGTGAGATGATGGCGAACAAAATGCAGAACCAGAGCAAGAGAGTGAACTTGTCCAGAACATTCCATATATACCCTCACAGAAGCTAAGGGTGGTGACTGGAGTCACACCTTCCAGCAAGATGGGATTCAAGATACATCCCACCCTAAACAGAGAATAGGATTTACAATATATCACTAAATGGAGGACGATGGCTACAAGGGCCATATGAGCAATTTACTGCACTGCAATGAATTAAAATGAAATTCTATCAAATTTTAAAAATTATTTTAGTGCTCAGGTTGTACCAATTTTGACTATCAGGAGCACCTTAACATTAGCTTATGTGGTTTTTCTTTTTAACAAGTGCCCATCTCTTTTATTTTGTTTTGTTTCAGCATCTCCTACATTCTGGATGCGTCCTTGGGTGGAGCAAATGGTTAAGCACTTGACGACTAACCAAAAGGTTGGCAATCCCAACCCACTCACAGATGCCTTGGAAGAAAGACCTGGCAATTTGCTTCCAGAAGGCCATAGCTCTGAAAACTCTAAGGAGTATAGTTCTACTCTGAAACACATGGGGTTGCCAGGAGTCAGAATCAACTACATGACAACTGATAAAAATTGTCTAGCATCACAAGAGGTTTCAGGTCCATCCTGTATTTTCCCTCCACAAGCCCTAGAATCAACCACTACTTTAAAGAGTCCTGGTTCCTTTCTTTGGAAAATGGTGCTTAGAACCCAGGGATTGGTTGCCAGGCATGTTCATTGCTACTGGGGAATGAATGTTTCTGGGCTCTCTCAGCTAATAGAGCAACCCACACACATAAACACTCAGATCTATGTTTCTTTATGTATATAATTGTATGAAACCAACCAACCAACCAACAAATTCACTGCCATTGAGTCAATTCCAAGACAAAGTGACCCCATTGGGTTTCTGAGGCAGTAAGTCTTTACAGAAGTAGATTGCCCCATGTTCCTTCCCCAGAGCAGCTAGTGGGTTTGAACCACCAACCTTCTGGTTAGCAGTAAAATGTCTTAGGTACTGCACCAACAGAGCTCCTTATATGATTGTATATATATTGAGAAATATGAGTTTATATTAATACCTCTGATTCCTATCCAAGACCACAAGGTCCATTTTACCTTTATCTACAACTTCTTTTTCCACCAGTGCAAACTGGATCTCATTATTTATAATATATTTACTTATTTGTTTAATTCTAGTAACATATAAAGCAGTTTAAGAATTGGTAAACAATATCCCTGAAAGAAACATTGTTACTAGATTACAGCCTTCACATACAGTTTTTTGAGGGCTACTCCATATAGTATCCAGCCAAGATATTGTTTTACACAATTACTTAGGTTAATTCTTGCCTTCTTCACCCCCTACAGTGTTGCTTATTAATTTAATACAGTTCAGTCCATTTGTCAGTGCTTGTACTTCCTTTTGGATTCCCTGATTCCTGTTGGTTTTAATAGCTTATTTATTTTGTTGTTGTTGTTGTTGTTGTTACGTGCCGTCGAGTCGGCCCCGACTCATAGCGAACCCTCCTTGGGTTTCCGAGGCAGTATCACTACGGAAGTAGGATTGCCCAACCTTCCTTCCAAGGAGTGGCGGGTGGGTTTGAACCGCCAGCCGTCTGGTTAGCAGGCAAAGTGTCTTAGCCACTATTAGGATATGTAAATCATTACTATAGTTATGAGTCAGACTTATACAAAAAGTATGCTCAGAAAAGTGTCACTCCTGCATTCCTGTTACCATGTTTCTCTTCCCCTTCCTTCCATCTTTCTTGTTCACCCCCATAGACAACAAAGCTTTTTAGTTTTTTTTTTTAATGTATCCTTCTTGTATATCTTTTGTACAAATGAGCAAAAACTTTTGTTTACAGAAAATCTTTGACACTTTGCTTTTTCACTTACATGTGTGCACTAGAATTCATTCCCTATTAGTTCATTGAGATCTTCCTCATTCATTTTTATAGCTACTTGTTAATTCATTGTGTTGATGTTCATTCCATAGTTTATTCAACTATGTATGCCCATTTAAGTAGTTTCCATTATTTTGCAATTCCAAATAATGGTGCAGTGAATAAACTTGGGCATGCAATACAGTTTTAATTACTGACTTGAGTAAAAATAATAATTTCTGAGATAATATATAGTTCCTTTTAAGAAAAAATTTCCAGAAATGCTCTATGCTCAAAGCCAAGCTAGAATACCTGTTAAAATACTCTATGGAGGGAAGGAAAGTCTGTCCCAACAGATGGAGTGCTGCAGGTGGTCTGCATAATGTCATTATATCCATGTTTATATAACACAGCTCCTGTGAGGAAAGTGGAGAAGGGATAATTCGTCTAGTACAAAACACCTCTTTTCCAAACCCTGTCTTCAATAAAGCAATGATAGTAACATTATAGTAAAATGGCAAAGGCCAGAATTAAGCACTTGGAAGCCAAAATTATGGAGGAAAAAAGAACCAAGTGCAAGCCTCCCCTTCCTTTCAGATTTTCTACAAATCACCTTGTTCCTCTTAGCACAGTTTCTATCATGTCTAAAATGGAAATGGTCACAGAATACCTCCCATTTTCCATCATGCAGGCTTCCATAAAGGTTTAAGGAAAAGTTAATCATGAGAAATTACTTTCTTAGCTTATTAGAGAATAACATATTTGAGAACATTTCATACAAAAGCTCGAGAAATTGCACAGTGAAGACACATTTCTCATTCTGGGCATACAAGCCTGCACAGTAAGAAATATATTTTACATGTGGTATCAAAGGTACCTGGGGCTGTCTGGGTCAGAAACAATGAGGAACAGATGGACAAAGTGATTCATTTGAAAATAAATTTCAATGAGTTATGCAAATTTTAGTCTTTTATGACAGTGATTTCATTTGTCATTAAAAATGATAATAATCTCTCTGTTCTGACATCAAATGCATACATATTTATAGTTTCCATAATAACTATTAATTGGTCTGTTTTGGAGACTTTGTCCCCTTCCCCATTTCAGTCTAGTAAATACCACATTTTATACTACCATGCACTAATTAAGGTGTAAATGTTTACACAGGAAGGCTTAACAAGTATTGAAAATTTACATCACTTTTACACCATATTCATCAGTTATTTAAACTAGACTATTTTGAAACATTTCATTTAAGTTGTATCAGAGATCGCTACTCTTTATTTTAATAGTGGGACAATGAAATTAAAAGTCAAGGTGACACACAATGCCTTGTCACATTCATAGAACAGCATCATGTTATTTATCACATTGTGCCAAAATGTATCTTGTCCCTCTAGTAGGGACTTGAAGATTTTAAGACAATTCTATACTGTTTTCCTGGAATAATTCCTTTAGTTGTGCTTTCATTGCCAGCATATGCTCTTCATTGGTTGAGCAACTCCCTAAACAAACTGACTCTTTCAGAGACCTTGCAAAGGATGTCTTCAGAGGGCAATGACATGGCTTGGAGAGCTTCCCAAAGTTCTGTTTCTGAGATGGAAGTTTAGACTTGATATTGAACCCTTATGTGTCAAGTATTTTCTTCTTTATGGAGCTCTGGAAAGTTTGGGACCAAAATCTCCATGGGGGATAGCAACCATATTTGATGTGTTGACAAATCATTCATTGCTATGCAGTAGTAACAGGATCTGGGTTTCTCTAATAAAAAGAATGAATATGTTTTAATTCACACTTGTCATTTATTTTCTGTTACGGTCAGTGCTTGAATTGCAGCTGTAACTTGTATATTAATTACAATTTGATTCTGAAACAAATGCCCAAAGAACTCAGCAAGGCAAAGACAAATCCTTCGAAGTAAAGTGCACCCTCATTTCTAGTAACTTTGTGGACAGCATCTGTATCTTACTTGAAAATTAAGTATTTTTCATCTCTCTACCCTGACTGTGTTTTGGACTCACCTTCTTTCCCAAGTATCCTGTATTCAAGGTATCTCAACCTATGGAGCAGTTGTCCAGAGGAAGAGAGAAGCAACAGCCCCGCCCTCAACCCTTGGGAGCAGTAAGGAAAAGATTTATCTTAAGAAATTGTTTAAAAACCCAGGTGCAACAGACAAATAAAGCCATAGCTACATAGATTAATGTCTCAGGGATCCAGAAATTAACCTCAAATGGGCAATAATTTGTTTGGGATTACACTAAACCAGTTTGATGAACTCAAATGCCCTCGGCTCAATAGGCAGGACTCTCCGAGGAGCCTGTGTTACTTCCCTCACTTAAGCGCAGATTTGTAATAAAAATCTTAATGCTAGTGGCATGTTTTTTAGACATATAAGAAACTAACCACTTGGAGAATAATATATGAGAGGTCAGAAAACTCCACAGTTGAAGATGGGCTTATAATTTACAAAGAAAATAGAAAGTTTTGTTCCTCTGAGTTGAAATTTGTGGAGCACGGCGGGAAATATTGCTGCTTTTTGGCATAAGGTCTTGTGCTTTCCTCATAATCTGACACTCTCTTGAAGCCTGAGGCTTCGGTCATCATTTTCTGAGAAAAACCGGGCAATTAAGAGTAGGGAATTTTGATATTTTGGGGCTTTTTTGAGGTGTAACAAACACAACTCGGGATCGGAGAGGACACTCTGCGGCTGCCAGTGAGGCGGGCTGGGCAGTGCACCAATCACCGCGCAGCTCCGCCCTATATAAACCGGCGGGCGCAGCGGCGCGGCCCGAGTCCCGGCCAGTGCCTCTGTTTTCGGCTGGAGTTGCGCTCTTCACGCCCGCCCTTAGCATGTCCGAGACTGCGCCCGCCGCACCCGCTGCTCCGGCCCCTGCCGAGAAGACGCCAGTAAAAAAGAAGGCCCGCAAGTCTGCAGGTGCTGCGAAACGCAAGGCGTCTGGGCCCCCAGTGTCCGAGCTCATCACCAAGGCGGTGGCTGCTTCCAAGGAGCGCAGTGGCGTTTCCCTTGCCGCGCTCAAGAAGGCGCTGGCTGCTGCTGGCTATGATGTGGAGAAGAACAACAGCCGTATCAAGTTGGGTCTTAAAAGCTTGGTGAGCAAGGGCACTCTGGTGCAAACCAAGGGCACCGGTGCATCGGGCTCCTTCAAGCTTAACAAGAAGGCGGCTTCTGGGGAACCCAAACCTAAGGCCAAGAAGGCGGGCGCGGCGAAAGCCAAGAAGCCCGCGGGAGCGGCTAAAAAGGCTAAGAAGACGGCGGGGACCGCCACCCCAAAAAAGAGCACCAAGAAGACCCCAAAGAAGGCGAAGAAGCCCGCTGCGGCTGCAGGTGTCAAAAAGGCGAAGAGCCCGAAGAAGGCGAAAGCGGCCAAGCCCAAGAAAGCGCCTAAAAGCCCAGCAAAGGCCAAAACGGTGAAACCCAAGGCGGCTAAACCAAAGACCGCCAAGCCCAAGTCAGCTAAGCCAAAGAAGACGGCAGCCAAAAAGAAATAGGAACTTCTTTGGCCAGCTGCTTAGAGGCTTAACACAACCCAAAGGCTCTTTTCAGAGCCACCCCAGAGATCTCAGAAAAAGAGCTGTTGCACATTAAAGGGGGCGTGGCTGAAAGGAAAAACGAGGGGACGGGGGTGCCCTTTCAAGTAGTGGGAAGGTGGTGGTGGACATAGCGGCTAATAAGTTACCCTCCTCCTGCCCTTGCGCTCCCCCAGTGACGGGTAAGAACGCTACTAGCTTGCCTCCCTGGGTGCAGATACTACGTTTTAAGCAGCTCAAATTTTTGTAGACCAGGGTTTCCAAGAAATAAGGATTTGTTCTCCGTACTCAGTAGGAGACTGAAGTTTAACCGTAAGCAATAGAAACTGACAAAACTTAGTGTAGGCAGCGAAGAGTGGAAAGAAGAGGGAGTTTCATATGATTTCGCAGCATTAAACCGCCCAGCCTTGCGTAGCGTGAGGTGCAGTGTGTGCGGAGAAACGCGCTCCAACACCGGGCGTGTTGACAGCGGCTCCAGCATCTAAGCGGTCAGTGTCGCCACCAGGTGCTCAAAGGCCGGCCCAATCCGCGAAGTTGTTCTTGCAAGCAGGCAATTGACTCCGCCCACGAGCCTTAAGCTCGTAGACTTTAACTGTCAGTTTTCTGCGACTATGCTGTACACTTGCTTGGAGAGATCTTTTTATAAGTAAGTAGCTTAGAGTAGTCTAGGTTAGGTTCTTTGATTGGGTCAAAGCAAAATAATGAAATAGCCAATGAGATTTTAGACCAGAAAGTGTCATTTACAATCGCATTTGTGACGACATAGTAAGCTAATCCAATCGTAAGCGGAATCTTATTAACATCATTTGAATACCGCATCTATAAATAAATGTGACCTGGCCCGGGTCGATTATTTTTTTCAAGTGTTTGTGGTATTGTTGTTACATTAAACGTTCGAATGCCTGAACCCACCAAATCAGCTCCTGCCCCGAAGAAGGGTTCCAAGAAGGCGGTGACTAAAGCCCAGAAGAAAGATGGCAAGAAGCGCAAGCGCAGCCGCAAGGAGAGCTACTCGGTTTACGTGTACAAGGTGCTAAAGCAGGTCCATCCCGACACCGGCATCTCGTCCAAGGCCATGGGCATCATGAACTCGTTTGTCAACGACATATTTGAGCGCATCGCAGGTGAGGCGTCTCGCCTGGCTCATTACAACAAACGCTCGACAATCACCTCCAGGGAGATCCAGACGGCCGTGCGCCTGCTGCTGCCTGGGGAGCTAGCCAAGCACGCCGTGTCCGAAGGCACCAAGGCTGTCACCAAGTACACGAGCTCCAAGTAAACCTTCCAAGTAAGCGTCTTTACAGCTAACCCCAAAGGCTCTTTTAAGAGCCACGCATGCTTTCAACAGATGAGTTGTAATTCTTACATTCGAAGTGTTGTTCTTGGATTTCTCTTAGCAAATTCCAAGTGTTGTTCTTGGATTTCTCTTAGCAAATTTGAAGCTACACTACCATTCTTTGGTGTTCTATCAGAATTGTGGAAAAAAATGTGAGGTAAGATCAATGATAGCAATACCCTTTGTCATCGAATCGATGTTGTTGCTATTTGCCGTCGAGTCGACCCCGACTCATAGCGACCCCTCCTTGGGTTTCCGAGGCAGTATCACTACGGAAGTAGGATTGTCCAACTTTCCTTCCGAGGAGTGGCTGGTGGGTTTGAACCGCCAGCTTTCTGGTTAGCAGTCAAGTGCCTTAGGCACTATGCTACCAGAGCTCCTATCGAATCGATAGCGACCCTTTGGGACAGTAGAACTGCTCCATAGGGTTTCCAAGGCTGTAATCTTTTCGGAAGCAATGCCACATTTTTGTCACATGGAGTGGCTGGTGGTTCCACTACCAGACCTTTCGGTTAACAGCCGAGCGCTTTAACCACTGCGCAACCAAGCCTCCCGAGTGATAACGCTAGTTATCATAAATTGAGCTCTCACTGAGCTCACTTACAGTTGTAAAGAATCATTAGCTTATTTCATATTTGTCTAGAAACTAATAAGAACTTAACATTATTCCAAGGGTTCCACTTTCCTTCCCCTGTGTAGGTCTCCATGTTGATCATAATGTGATCCTGTAACAATTGGTTGGATTCTGGGGATTAGTGCTCACAATGAGCATGAAGGGATATGCTGTGACAACTTTGTCTCAGAGCCCTTTCAATTTCTTCTTTTATAATCTAAATATCTCGATGCAAATGGCTGAAGACAGTGAATTTTCACAGAATTATTAAAAACAGTTTCTGAGTTTGCTTGCTTTGCAATTTGGCCAATTTCTGGGGTGGCTCTGAGCAGGATAGTAGGTAGAACCTAATGCTGTGTCAACAAGCAGAGGAGGGGAAGGAGAAGCACTCAGGTCTCTCATAATCTTTGATGCCAAAAGGAACTCTGGTGGTGCAATGGTTAGGGCATTTGGCAAACCAAAATGTCAGTGGTTCAAACCCACCATCTGCTCTGCAGGATAAAGATGAGGCAGTCTGCTTCTGTAAAGAGTTACAGCTTTGACCCCCACCCCAGCCCATAGCAGTCACCGTAAGTCCCTTGACCACCACCACCACCCCCCATGGGGATCACTGTAAGTTAAGAATCAAATGAATGGCAGTGAGTTTGCTTTGACTCCAAAAGAAACTGAAATCACAGCTTTCAGTTTCATAAGCCCTACAGGTAACAAGAGAGAATTCTGGTGCATAGTTGGTTATTAAAGTTTCTTGAGTGCAGACAGGCAAAAGTTAGCTCAGGACTGAGAGTTCCTTTTCAGTACCATTCACCCTTTGCCAGATGCCCCTGAGTGTCAAGGAAGTCAAGAGGTAGAAAGGACAAGGAAACCTCTTCACCTGGTCTAGCATTAAGTAGCTTCTGGTATGCAAGGTAGGGTGGCATTAAGGGTTTGTTTGTTTGTTTTGCCTCTAGGTCATGAATTTATGTGGGAAAAATAAATCTGGAAAAAGAGGTTGGAGGAATTGGGAAAGATGACCAGGAGGAGAGGAACCAATGGCTCAGAGTTTGACAAGATAACTGAGGTAGATGAGGTTGGGTGCAGAGTGAAGTGTTTATTCAGAGGGAGAATTTTGTTGTAGTTGATACTAGTACAAATAGGAATGAATTTTAAAATTCTAGTAACTTCACAAGGAGCCCTTGTGGTGCAGTGGTTAAGCACTCTGCTGCTAACCAAAAGGTCAGTGGTTCAAACTCAGCTGCTCCTGGGACAAAGAGAAGGCAGTTCTACTCTGTCCTATAAGGTCACTGTGAGACAGAACTGACTTGATGTTGACAGCAATGGGTTTATGTCCTACTATGGAGATAGATTTTTCATAATATGGCAAGCTTGATACCTGGATGTACAACTAAAATCCTGGGTAGTTCTTTTCTTAATTTTGAAAACACCAAACAGCTGCTAAGAAAGTAAGGCACTTAGGTCCAGGGCCTTGACCCACATGAAGCATGCAGCACCACATCTGGCTTTCACCTAAACCTGTGCTCCTGCTTTTAGGGTGTTACAAGGAGACTGTCCATGGTGGAGACTCTGATAAATCTTTGTGAAGCTCAGACACCAGACCAAAAGCTACATTCTCAGAGTAGAGGATGTACTAGAAATAACCATCTATCCAGGCACATTCAAACACACTTAATTAGAGGTGATTGCAAAGAAAAGTCTGTCCAGAACCTTTGTGCTCAACAGGGGTAGATTCCACCGCTGAGAATTTGGACAAGTCAGCATTCACACTTGTTGCATGTTTTCATACCACAGGGATTCAAAAAACCCAAGCTGAGAATATAATTTAGAGCTAACTCAGGTTGGTTTTGTGCCCCTGTGCATGTGGTAGAAGCAAATACAATCACCGGGGGAAGTTTTAGGCCTCAAGAGATCTACACAGATAAAATATCAAAGACAATGAGTTAGCAGTATCACAATCAAAATTAGCCACACACTATGAAGCAAGATACCATGACCCAGAACAAGAGCAACAGATAATGAGAATGAAAAGAGTGAAAAAAGGAAATTACCAAATAACAGATTTCAAATGATTAAACTTAATATAATTATTTAAAAAAAAAAAAAAAGAAAGAAACTTCAAAATATGTTCAGGAACTAAGAAAACAAAGAATAACAAGAACATTTGGAAATAGATTTAAACAAAAATTGTAGAATACATGCACACACACACACATACATAAACTCAAACACATATTTTTGTGTCACATATGTATATTATTTATAACACAAAAGCTTATTGGATGAGTTCAACAGCCAGTTGGACCTAGCTGAAGTAGATAACCAGACTTAAGGAATTATCCAAAATCCAGTACAGAGAGAAAATTGTAAGAGTGAGTTTAAGAGACCTGGGATTTTAATGAAAAGATCTGATGTGTATTTAATCATAAAACCAGAGAGAATGATGCATATGTGAGATTGAAAAGATCATGGTTGAGAATTTTTTAGAATTGATGGGTTATTCATGTAATTAAAAATAAGTAGAGTTAAAAATGATACGAGAAAAAGGAGTTACTATGTGACATTGTATAAGTAATTACAACAAATATAATGCTGATTTTCATAGGTTAAACCTTATATTTCATATTGACAGATGTCATGAGACTGAAATACCGCTGAAATTTTGTGTGGGGAATAATAATTGGGTAATTGATTATTTACGTGTATTTCACATCCAGCTAACTTAACCAAATTTTCTTAATTCTAATCAATATTTAGTGGACTGTCTTAAGATTCTTTGCATATAATACTTTGCATATAAACTAAACCAAACCCACTGCCATTGAGTAGATTTGGACTCATAGTCACCTCTCATTGGGTTTCCAGGGCTGTAAATCTTAACAGAAGTAGATTGTCTCATCTTCCTCCTGCAGAGCAGCTGATGAGTTTGAACCACTGACCTTCTGGTTAGCAGCTAAATGTCTTACCCACTATACCACCAACCAAAAAAAACCAAACTCACTACCATGGAGTCAGTTCCAACTCATACTGACCCCTCCTTGGGTTTCCAAGGCATTATCTCTATGGAAGTAGATTGCC